TCCGATTAATTTCTTTCTATTTCTAGTAGAGACGGGGTCTCACTCTTGCTCAGGCTGGTTTCGAACTCCTGAGCTCAAACAATCCTCCCGCCTCGTCCTCCCAGAGAGCTAGGATTACAGGCGTGAGCCACCGCGCCTGGCCCTCCAATTTCTTTAAGTACTAAGTTTGACAATTGATATCTCTGACATTTCACTTTGACACTTCTTGTTTTATTTTTATTATGAAGGTACATCCTCAGTCTTTCAAACACATGCTTTGTTTGGCTTGTGATTATCTGTCAAATTTTTTTAGAGCAATTTTTGTGAAACCATGGATAAGTCAAAAATTCGTGTTATTTTCAAATATGACTCCCATCATGGAACCAATGCAGCACAGACAGCTCGAAATATCAACGAAGTGTTTGGGAAGGATGTGGCTAATGAATGCACAGTACATCGATGGTTTGAGAAGTTCTGTTCTGGTGATTTTGATCTTGAAAATGAGCCATGTGGGCGACCTGAGACCAAGGTAGATAATTATGAGTCAAAAGCTGTAGTGGAAGCAAATCCGTCTCAACCTATGCGTGAATTAGCAGCAAGGTTTGATGTTACTATTCCAACAGTATTGGACCATTTGAAAACAAATGGGCAAGGTAAAGAAGCTGGATAGATGGGTACCGCGTGAATTAAACTAGCATGAGAAATCATCTCAAAGGTTGCCTTTCTTTGCTGTCATGCCATAAAGGCGAACCATTTCTACACCACATTGTTACGTGTGATGACAAATGGATTCTTTTTGACAATTTCAAGCGTTTGGCACAATGGTTGGATAAAGCCGAAGTGCTGAAACAGAGTCCAAAACTGAATATTCATCAAAAAAAAGCTGATGGTGTCTGTTTGGTGGTCCAGCACCGGTATTATCCAACACAGTTTCATGAAACCTGGTCAATTGATTACCGTGGCTGTCTACTGCAACCAGTTCTACAAAATGATGAAGATACTTGCAATTAAGCAGCCAAGATTGGTCAGTAGAGACAGGCCGATCCTCTTGCAAGACAACGCTCGGCCACATGTCACACAAACAGCACTGCTCACACTACAGAAGCTGGACATGGAAAATCTCTGTCATCCACCGTATTCACCAGACCTTGCACCAACTGACTGGCACTTCTTCCAGGCTTTGGACCACTTCTTGCAAGGAAAAATATTCAGTTCTCAACAAGCTGTGAAAAACGCCTTTTGAGATTTCATCGCCACTTGCTCTCCAGGCTTCTTCGCTGCTGGCATAAATAAGCTACCGTTAAGATGTCAAAACTGTGTTTATAGTTTAGGTGCATACTTTGATCAATTGTACTGCTTCTTGTTTGAGGTATAATAAACTACACATTTTTAAAATTTCAGAATATTATGGGGGTACACACTTTTTGGTTACATAATTTGCTTTTGTACATTTCGAGTCAAAGTTATGTGTGCCCTTCACCCACATAGTGTACATTGTACCCGTTAGGTGTAAATTTACCCATCCCCTGCTCCCCCCTGCTTGATTTCCATTGAGTTTTACTTCCGTATGTGCACATAAGTGTTGATCGATTAGTTCCAATTTAGTATTGAATACATGTGGTGTTTGTTTTTCCATTCTTGTGATACTTCACTTAGAAGAATGGTCTCCAGTTCCATCCATGTTGTTACAAAAGATACTAGATCACCATCTTTTATGGCTGATAAACTACACTTGATTTGAAATCAGACATTTCATATTTAATGACCTTAAATAGCTAACACTTTATTGGTGTTCACTATATGCCAGGCACTGTTATAAGGAATTTAAATGAATTAACTCAATGCTCAAAACAACCCCTATGAAATAGGTGCCATTCCATTATTTTACAGATATGGAAAATGAACTGCAGAGAGGGTAAGTACCCTGAAAAAGGTCACTCAGTTGGTAAACAGCAGAACCATAATTCAAATCCAGGCAGTCTGGCTGTGTAGGCCACAGTCTTAACCCTTAAACGTGATACTGTTATACTGCCTCAGTGGTGCAGAAAAGCCTGGTAGAGTAGGAATGTGGCCTAAATTAAGCATGTGGACTCAAGGGCCCTCCAGCCTAGGGACTCTTTGGCTACAGTTATCCTATCTAATTCTGAAAGTATAGAATTAAGGAATGAAAAGAGAACAAAAATAAATAAAGAAAATGCCAAGTACATGTGAAGATGGTATCAAAACATGCTGAAAAATGGTGATCTAGCGCTTCTTGTATTATCCCGGATGGAGCTGGAGCCCATTCTTCTAAGTATCACAACCAATGGAAAAACAAGCACGACATGTACTCACCATCAAATTGGTATTAACTGATCAATACTTAAGTGCACATATAGTAATAACATTCATCAGTTGTTGGGCAGGTGGGGGGGAAAGGGGGATGGGTATATACACACCTAATGGGTACAGTGCACAACGTCTGGCGGATGGACACGCTTGAAGCTCTGACTCAGCTGGAGCAAAGGCAGTATACATAACCTAAACATTTGTACCCCCATAATATGCTGAAATAAAAAAAAAATTTAAAAAAACCGAAAACATGCTGAAAGAGAAAATATTTATGTATTATATATTAATATGTTAAGAGTAATTACATTTTTTAAAAAATGAAGCTTGAGTTCTTAGGGAAATATATATAGAAACTAGTTAATTCCAAGATGAAAATAAAACTTTAGTCTTTCTCATATCATAACACAAATAAGCTTAGATGGACCTATGACTGCTAACTCTAGTTTTGTTAAACCCCAGGAGTATCATAGAATTTTGTTTCACATTGTTTTTATAAATTAAACATAATGGTTTTTTGAGATAGGAAGTATAAAATTGTGAGGGTGGGAAGTCCAGAAAGGCTGGGTAAAGCAGACAGCACATTCCATAGACAGTCAAGAGAAGTTACTGGGCCTTGATTTTCTCACCTAAAAATCAGGTTTCTTGCTTGCTATTACCTACATCATAGATATGTACAGGATAAATTAGAATAAAAATAGCTTGAATTGTTTGGGAGCATTTCATAATTTAAGTTGGATAGTTACCACTATTTTCAAGTCTTTAAAGTAGTCTCTTTAAATATCTGCAGTGAAATATTAAAATATAGTTTCATAGTTCATTATTTGTTTCAGGTAATGGTATATTTATCATCAAAATCTTGTCAGTTTGTGTCTGACTATAAAATGAGAGATGATGAGCAATCTAGAAAATAAGAAAGGATTTTTTCTGATATTTTAAGTAACTTTATAGTCATCATCCAAGAATGTTGTCCATGTAATTTTCTGCAATTTTTAAATGAATGTTTCTTTTTTCTGAAGCAGCATTGAGTGAGGATTCTGAAGTAGGATTTGAGTTTAATCCAATTTGATGGAGTGATATAGAATAATGTAGCCATAGGATGAAATACTATCAGCTATTAAAACTGATTTTATAATAGAATAGCTGAAAAACATCACAAGTAACTGAAAATTTGTGAAATATTATGTAACTGATTTTTTTAAAAAGTAGGTAAGTCTGGAAAGTTATATATACTAAAATGTTAACAGTTGTAGTTATTCTTAGGCAGTTGACTAAGAGCAGGGTTTTCTTTTCTTTTTTTGTAGTTCTGTGGATTTTACAATGAACATGTATTATTTCTGTAATAGGGGAAAAAGAAAACTGGGAGGGTAAAAGGAAGTATACCTTTATGGCAGTGGCATCTTTTGAGTTACAGCACCTCCATTGATATTTCTTTGTTTCTATTTTTTATTTTTCAAATGTTCTATGTTGATCATAAATGTTACTTTTTATTATTAAAAACCCAATAAGCTCTGCTTAAAAATTAAGTGGTTGGAATGACTTTGCATTTTTAAAACTACCTTAATAATTACTTTTAAAATTAATATGTACTCATTGTAGAAAACTAGAAATAAGAAAGAATAAAAATAAGTTTAAAACTCTTTTGTAATTGTATTGTACTTTGAATAGTCTTTTTAGGAATAAATTTTTAATTTATTTAGTCTGTAATCAGATTAAATGGATTTGAATCACAGCTCTGTCACTTAATAGTTACAAGGCCTTAGGGAAGTTTCTTAATCACTTTGCCTTAGTTTTCTCATCTGTACAATGAGGGTAATAATAATACTTCATGAGAGAGTTAAATGTATCATACATGTAAAGTGCATAAAACTGCCTGCCTCACATGGTAAGTGTTTCATAAATGTGATCTATCATTTTTCTATACTATTAGGTCATTAAATATGAAATGTCCGATTTCAAGTGAAAAGTGTAGTTTATTATATCTCAAAGAAGAAGCAGTACAATCAATCAAAGTATGCACCTGAACTATCAACACAATTTTGCCATCTTAACGGTAGCTTGTTTATGCCAACAGCAAAGAAGCCTGGACAGTGAGTGGTGATGAAATCGAGAAAGTACAAGGTCTGGTGAATACGGCAGGTGACAGAGATTTTCCACGTCCAGATTCTGTAGTTTGAGAAGCATTGTTTGTGCGACAGGTGGCCGAGCATTGTCTTGCAAGAGGGTTGGCCTGTCTCTAGCATCCTCATCATTTTGTAGAATTGGTTACAGTAGACATCCACTGTAATCAGCTGGCCAGGTTTCATGAAGCTGTGGTGGATAATACCCGCACTGGACCAACAGACACCATCAGCTTTTTTTGATCAATGTTCGGTTTTGGACTCCGTTTTGGCACTTTGGCTTTATCCAACCATTGTGCTAAACGCTTGCAATTATCAAATAGAATCCATTTTTCATCACACTCAACAATGTGGTACAGAAGTGGTTCTCTTTTATGTCATGACAGCAAAGAAAGGCAAGCTTCGAGGCAATTTCTCTTCTGATGCTAGTTTAATTCACGCGGAAGCCATCTATCCAGCTTCATTACCTTGCCCATTTGTTTCAAATGGTCCAATATGGTTGGAATAGTAATGTCAAACCTTGCTGCTAATTCACGCACAGGTTGAGACGGATTTGCTTCCACTATAGCTTTCAGCTCATCATTATCCGCCGTGGTCTCAGGTCACCCATGTGGCTCATTTTCAAGATCAAAATCACCAGAACAGAACTTCTCAAACCATCGATGTACTGTGCATTCATTCATTAGCCACATCCTTCCCAAACACTTTGTTGATATTTCGAGCTGTCTGTGCTGCATTGGTTCCATGATGTTATTTGAAAATAACACAAATTTTTGACTTATCCATGGTTTCACAAAAATTGTTCTAAAAAAATTTGACTGATAATCACAAGCCAAACAAAACATGCATTTGAAAGACTAAGGATGTACCTTCATAATAAAAATAAAACAAGAAGTGTCAAAGTAAAATGTCAGAGATATCAGCTATCAAACTTAGTACTTAAAGAAATTAGACATTCCATACTTAATAACCTAATATTAAAAATTTATATCATGCCTTTTAAAATTGACATTATTACCTAAGCTTTTCCCTATCTTATTATAACGTTTTTGTTGTATTTAATGAACTGTGATACGTGTAATAAACTATGGTGTTTCATCATGTGAATGTAGCATAATTTACTTCACCAGTCTCTTCTCATTGGACAATTGCAGTATCATCAATCTAAAGCAGCCATCTGGTAGTTTCAGGCAAAAAAAAAACAATTTTTAGTTATGTTTTAAATTTGAAGGATAATTCACATTTATTTGTCCCTTAGTTTTAACCATAGGGATTACAGTACTAATTCTTAACCAGAACCACCCATCTGGAAAAAGGAATCTTGTATATTTAGGAACTTATAACAGCAAGCACCCTGAATTAGAGCCAAAACTCAAACAAAAAACAGCGTGCTGTGTTGCATTCTATACAGAAAAATACTACAATAGGAAAACATTGTTTTAGTCTCAGAAGTTGATTTTAAAATCTAAATGAAATTTTATTTTCTACAGATGGTTGGTAAAGGCTTTTTTCTAGTTCAGACAAAGGAAGTGTCCATGAAAGCTGAGGATGCTCAAAGAGTTTTTCGGGAAAAAGCACCTGACTTCCTTCCTCTTCTGAACAAAGGTACCTTCTCAATGATTGGTGTACTTTTGTGGTTATTTTCTTGACATGCTGATTTGATTTACTCTTGCTTTTAACATTTCTCTTACATTGCCTTCTCCTTCTCATTTGTACTACATTTTTTCCTATTACTGTTCAGAAAGTAAAATTTCACCTCACTCAAGGAGCCCAATATAACTTACTAGAAATTAGGCATTAGTTTTATTTTCCTATCATATGTTCTTAGCACATCAAATTATACTTTATTATATATATTTTTATTATTGTACCTTTGTATTGTAGTGAGTGAACATTTCATACTCCCCACCTAGAGTTGCAAAGTACTTGATAAAGAGTCTATCTGCCTTCAATGTGCTTTGATCATACTGGAAAAGAAATAAGAAGCATAAATAAAGTGTTATTTTATGTATTTAATATGATTGATTAACTTCCCATGTGTAATTAGAACTATTTTCCCCAATAGGTGAATGCCACCAATAAATTTCAGATACTGGATATATGTCTGAAAAGAGGGGAACTAGAGTTCATGTGCCCTCTTGAAGGGTGGTCATGTGTCTATTTGTATTTGAAAGTATACTGATTCTAGAGTACAGAGTACTATTTATCTGTTCAGAGTTGGGACATTGTTTGCTCAAGGCTCATCAGGCTTTTCTTGACTAACCTTAGCAAATATGCATAGTAAATATGCTATACTGATTGGGTATACCCTAGGGAGAGGCCACATCTGCATTTATATGCTCTTTATGAATAAATAAATTATAATAGATTGCAAAAACCTGTATGAAAATGTTGGAGGATTGTTAGGATAATTTTAATAAATAATGCTTAGTATAACTCAGCTGTCAAGTATTAATACAGTATTTCATATACTTATGTGGTTACTGTAGTAGTATAATAATGCTAAGGACTTGCTCCAACCCAGTGCATGAATCTATCCCAGAATATATGTAAGAATTTATAACCTGGCCCCTTTGATGCAACCATTTTGACATGGGAACATTCTCTTGGAACCTTGAAATGAACCTTAAGTCCCAGCAGCTTTTGGAAATAATGAACCTCCTAAAGTATGAGGGTTAGGAATGAATTAAGCCTATGAGCAAGTCTAAATTAATGACTTATGTACTTGTGTGATGTAAGTGAAGTAGCATTATAGAATTACTCCAACCTAAATATAATATCTGCATTTAAGTAACAAAACATTCCACATGGAAGAAGTAAAATGTTCTGTTGCTGCAAAAAGTAGAACTGAAACCAATTAGCAGATGTTACAGGAATTTCAGCAAATAAACATAATAAAAAAAACAAGTCTTAAAAACCAGAGATGCCTATAGAAAGTATTCAAAGATTGATGAGTTTATGTCAAAAGATCACAGGACCCAGCTTGAAGGGTTTTCCACTGGCCAAATTTGGGACAATTTGACCATTAAAGAGAGTAATGAAGGTAAAGATTTCACGACAGAAATCCATGCATCCATATTGATAAACAAAAAAGGGGAGAGGGAATAAAGGAATGCTCATCTGCCAATATTGTGAGCTAATAAATGTAGAAGGAATGATGGACTTTGGAAATCACCATTTTCCAACGCTGATGTAATAATTATTTCAGACAAAGATTATCAGTAGATGCTAAAACAATTGGGATAAAAGTTCCTAAGAAATAGAATATTTATACATTCTAATTCAAATGAGGAAATGTACCTCTACAACAGAAATTTGGTGATCACCATGTTAACCCAGTGATCAAACTTAACATCACTGATGCTTGACATTGTGTTCCCCTGAATGTGATGCAGTGAGAAATATACATTACCTGTGAAGTGTTCTTGCCAAAAGTATTTAACCTGAATCTAATTTAGCCAAGACTTAACTTCTAGTTTGTAAGAAAAAAAGTAAGTATGTTAAATGACACCATAAGGAAACACTGAGACAAATCCAAAATAGAAGGCATTCTACGAGACAACTAGCTAGGTCTCTTCAGACAATGCAGTGGAAAACAAACAAAAAAGATTGGGGCAGGGGGAACTGTTCTGGTTAAAAGAGACTAAAGAGATATAACTAAATGCAGTGAGTGACTCTTGATTGGATATTGGATTGGGGTGGGGTGAGCTATAAAGCTGTAAAAGGCATTTTGGGGACAACTGGGGAAGTTTCAAGATGATAGGGAATTGTTCACATCTTTAGATGTGATAATGATATTGTGGTTATGTAGGAGGTACATGCCGAAGTGTCATGATGTCTGCTACTTTCAGTGACTCAGCAAAACAAAACAAAGCATATGTGTGCAGAGAGGTGGTGTGTATCATGTAATAAAGCAAATGTGGCCAGATATTAACTTTGGTGGGTGTAGTTGAAGGGCAAATGGATATTTATGCTTTTCTTTCAACTATTCTATAATGTGTAGACATTTTCAAAATAAAAAGTTGGGGAAAAATGTTAAGCTGCTCACTAGTGCATTGATTCATGTGGAATAGTAAGCAGTGGAGATACTCTAGCAGAAGTTGGATGGACTGGGTCCTTATCTAAAAGTGGCCATCAGTCATTCTAAGGCAGGGTTTCTCAACCTTGGCACTATTGACATTTTAGGCTAGGTAATTCTTTGTTATGAGGGGCTGTCCTGTACCTTGAAAGATGTTTAGCTGCATCTCTGCACCCACTAGATGCCAATAACACCCACCCATATTTGTGGCCACCCAAAATATTTCCAGACATTGCCAAATGTCCCCTGGGGGGCAAAATTGCTCCCAGTTGAGAACTACTGTTCTGAGCTAAGGGTGGACTTATTCTTTGGAAAACTCACTTTTATCTTGAATAGTTTGTACCTCAGAGTCTCTAAATTTTCCTCTTCAACTAAGGTAGTTACAGTTATTTCAGTTAATAAAGCTATTGACTGCTTAATAAGAGAATTCATTGTTTTCCATCTTGAGAATCTTCTAAACCTGACTAATCCTCAAAACCATCTAGGGTGCTTTTAAAAATATAAATTTTCTATTTCTACCCCAAAAATACGGATTCAAAAATCTCTGAAATGTATCCTTGGAATATGCATTTTTAATAGGTCCCCAGATGGTTCCAATGATTAGTCAGACTTGAGTTCTTTTGTTTTAGGGAGTCATTCATTCATTTATTCAATAAACATAGTAGATGAGATCTGAGAAGTAATAGAGGTACAGTCAGAGAATGCACGACCTTTGGCTTCTACAATAGTCTAAATGAGAAGAGAAGCTACTGAACATTTTTATTTATTTTTTTTAAATAAGCTTTTTATATTGGAATAATTTTAGGTTTATAAAAAAATTATAAAAATAATATAGTTTCTGTATACCCTTTACCCAGCTTCCCCTAATGTTAATATAACCATAGTACATTTGTCAAAACTAAGAAATTTACATTGTTAAAATGCTATTAACTTAAACTATAGACTATTCAAATTTTACCAGTTTTTCCCCCTTATGTCTTTTCTCAGTTCCAAAATTCAATCCAAGATCCCACATTGCTTTTAGTTGCCTTGTTTCTTTAATCTCCTCCAATCTGTGACAGTTCCTCAGTCTTTCCTCTCTTTTTGTAATCTTGAAACTTTTGAACACTAGTGGTCAGTTATTTTGTAGGATGTCCCTCAATTTGGGTTTTTCTCCGGTTAGACTAGGGCTATGCATTTTTGGGAAGAGGTGAAGTGCCCTTCTCATCACATCACATCACAGGGCACATGATATCAACATGAGGTGGTATCAGCCAGATTTCTCTACTGTACAGTTTCTGTGTTTCTCTTTCCATATTCTGTTCTTTGGAAATGAGTCACTAAGAGCAGCCCACACTCAAAGAGAGGAGAATTAAGCTCTACCTCCTGGAGAGAGGAATATTCACATACATTATTTGGAATTCTTCTGTAAGAAAGATTTGTCCTTTCTCCCCCATTTATTCAATCATTTGTTTCTATCAGTATTGACTCATGGATATGTATTTTATTCTTTGGA